TTAAGTAATAAGAAAGTAATAGTTAAGTAATAAATGTATTTATTATCCGATATTATTTCTTATTGCTATAAACGTTATAATTAGCAGATAGATGTGTTTGAATAGGAATCTCTGAATCTTTAATTTTTTTGTTAACAGTCTAATTCGAGGCAATCTTAGTCTTAATAGAGAAGAGTTAGCAGATATAGACTTTTAAAGGTCCCAACCAGAGATGTGCTTTTTAAAAAGGGTAATCCAGCCTGGTTTTACCCAGGTTAGAGTTAACGCATTATCTTTAATAAGACTTTCGATTGTCAGGCCGGTAGACGTCAATTTCGCTGTTAAATAAACAAAATCAACAAAAAACAAAAAGAAACAAGGATGTCTATTCAAACGGTTGTATCCACTAAATATAACATTTATAGTAATAAATGTCGAAATAAAGAACAAAATCTATTAATTACTTATAAATTACTTTAAATATATCTAGAAACACATTTTTCCGAGTTGGAGTTTGTTTATAAACGTACCACTAGTGACAAAGGTCACTATTTGCACTTGGGAAAGAAAAAACAAAAAAATAAAAAAAATAAAAAACACGTTCTAAATGCTAATTTTCAATAAATTCACATTTGGAATACTGGCACAACACAGAGTTCTTTTCCCCATGCGTCTTATTTATCCTTTTACCATACTAAACTAAGCTTAGTAAATAACAAAATATATCCGACTAAGTAATCATTTGTCTCAATTCAACTTCCATTATTCTTCCCTTGTTCACCCTAAGCTCACACAAGGTACACACACATACACACGCATACACACGCAAATCATTGCATATGAATCTATATTAATACTATTCGTGTGGTTACAATGTCCAAACACATGAAATTGTTTCCCATCCAACTATTTAAGTAAACTAAAAATAAAAGTTAATTCGAGAAATATATTTTATCGAAATTAGATTGCCAAAGCAGAGAGATAATAGGATTATTTTGGAGTATTATCTATATCGTACTGAATGCGAAAAAAAAAACAAAAAAAACTGAAATTATTAAATTAGAAAATTATAGGATTTAAAGTCAAAATGAAATAAAAAAAAAAAAAAAAAATCAACAAAAAACATTAAAAACAAATACAGAATTAAGCAGGAGATTTATTTTGATTCCAGCATTAAAAAATAAGATGGAGTTCAGATCGGCTGATCCTTAGTAATTTATAATTTGTCAAATCTATCGTAGGTTACTACAGTCACGCTAGTTTTAAACCATTTTTCTTCTTTCATGTATCGTGGCCCTTCGGGACGTGGAAAATCATGCCTCTCCACAACTTCCTGTGCGTTTGACTCTTTATCACCCCTCTTTATCTCCACTCTGCCATTCATTTCACAAAATTCATTTGATAGCTTACAAACTGTTTCTCTCTGCCCTCTCCTTCCTTCAATATATCCTGTGAGAGTTAAATTTTCCAAGCCTTTTTTCCTCATAACGTATCCCAGAAATTTCATCTGTCGCTTTTTTAGATGATGCATTTTCCAATAATATTATTTTATCGGCGCCTTCTAAAAATGATGGAAATATTTAAATAGTTGCATTGGTTATATATTCTGCGTGAATAATCTAGAATTTTGAAATAAAAAGAAATGTATTAGTACCCTGATCTCCCCTACTTATTAATAAGGTATTTAGTTGTTATGGTAATGTAAGACATGTTTGTCAACTGGCATAGGGTAATTCCTTCTGTTGCCATAACAACGGAATATCTCATTAGCAAATAGGGAAGAATAGGCTGCACAACTGATAAATATAAATAGGCTGCACAACTGATAAATATAAAAGTAATGTTTTATATTATAGAATATATTACTATTTTTCTATATCTTTTTATTGTTGCTTTTTACATGAAATAATTCATTATTATTATTATTATTATTATTACCAGTTTTAATCTACGAAGAGGAGTCTAAAATTTTCGAGGCGATCTACTCCCCAAAATATAAAAGGCCTTAATATATAAAAATATGATATTTAAATTTCCCTGTTCATCTGATGAAAACGATAGGAAACTTAATTCTGTAGTTAGGCGGCTATTATGTGGACCATAGTATATATTCTATATATACTATCAGATCCAATATATATATATATATATATATATATATATATATATATAAAACCTAATTTTAAAACATACTGAAACGCATGGATAAAAACAAACAAAAAAAAAAAAAAAAAAAAAAAAAAAAGAAAAAAGAAAAGAAAAAAGGATTATATCATGCAACTGGAAGAGAAAATAAATATTGATGACATTTTTAGAAGTCACTCATTTTCTTTCTTTTTTTAATTGCGAGAAGCGCCAACACAGGAAAAAATAATTATTATTTCATGATTTAAACCCACAAATGCACATATACTCATCTCATTTTTTCGCTTCGGATCTGATGAAGACTTAAACGGTGAAATGCTTTATCGGATATATTATCGGATATGTTTCGAAACAAATATACTTTCATGAACATTTTCCAATTGTCAAAAATTTAAATGACTGTCCGAGAAATTTCATATAAAATATGTGTCCTCCGACAGGAATCGAACCTGTATCCTACTTGGAACCGTCGTATAGCCTGAAGCGCTATAGTATTTAGTTACAGATAAAGCGTCTGGTTAGCAAGGTCAATTTACTGTTTTTAAACTACAAATTTCCCATGATTTCTCTCGAACGCCCATATCTGCTCGAAGCGTATCTTAACGTAAACAAATGACATCATATATTATAAAATGGACTAAAGTCCGACAATTATTTCAATAAATTTCTGGTTATACGTTTTTTATTGATACACATATTTAAGTAAATTCTCTTTTTATAATAAACAGTATTGACAGCATTTATCTTATTTACATTTATTTGTACCTATGAAAATAATGTATAAACAGATATATATATATATATATATATATATATATATATATATATATATATATATATAATAAATAAATTGTATTTGAATTTTTTAGATGAAGTATGGTCATAATTGTTAGCTTTTCAACTATTCCATTTTAATTCTTCTGCTTTTTAACACAACTCCCAGATCGTAATTCTACGATCTTTATTAAGTATCGCGGATAGGAAATAAAGAATTAACCTTCGGCGAGATTTGAACTAGTATCCCTTAAACTTGGGAGTCTGCTTGTGTATTTTCACTTGAACCTCATCATAAATTGAGTGACACTTCTAGTTATATTGGAACTCACCCCATTCTCCTTGTCTTTTCCAAAAGTATTTTCATGGCAACTGCTCCGACGAGCTACTTTCACTGGTTCCCAAACTGCATGAATTTAAACGTGCTGCTAGATTGGCATTTCGGTCCCACACTTTCACTGTCGAAACGACTAAATGTTGCCATCTCTTCTACTCCAACAGCTTCTTATGTCATATCTCCCGTCAGTGGAACTCCCTTCCTATCACTTGCTTCCCTGATAGCTATAATCTTCAAATATTCAAATGTAAAGTCAATCTATATCTTCTGATGCCTTGACCTTCATCCCTGTCCTTCTCTTTATCCTTTTCCCCAAAACTCCTCTTTACTCTTACTCTCACTCTCTGTAACCTCTTGCGTGCTAGTAGCACTCCCACCTTACTTGGGGTGATTTGCTTAAAAAAAAAAAAGATTACATAGGACGCTGTTCGTAGTTTCTAGTCAAATCGATCTCTCATATTGAATATGGCTGCAAGAAGATCTGATAATTAGAATCTCTGAATTGTCGATGCTCTATTCTGTAAAATGAGAGATATACCCGAACAGGACTAAAAAAAATACATCATCCGAAATGTAGTGATCAATCCATTAATAAAAATAACTTTTCCCAAGTATAGATAGACAGTCATCATAATGATGTAATTTCCTGGAATCAGTTTTAACAGTTTTTATTTTATTTTATTCTTCAGCAGAGTTGCTGTCTGAGAATGTAAAGAATTTGGGATTAAAAAAAAATATAGCTGAATCAGGGTTGTCTCCCTGCAATAATATTACAGTCCCAGATTGTAATAGAGCAATACATTCTAATTCGGGAGTTATTGTTTCTTTCAGATCGTGGAATATAAGTTTCAGAGCATTTGGGCAGTATTGGATGGGTTGGATTGGATAAATGTATGAGGAATTTAACACATTTTCTTTTTGGTTTTCAGTAGTTCTAGAAATACTTTTGTATCAGTGTTACCGGAAAGACGACGTCTCAGTGGTCGTCTTTCAGACAGAATCGGTTCCTGTAAATGCAATAACAAGGAGTAGATGTACTACAAAAATAAAAGAGGAAAATTTGAGAAGCTGTTGAGGATGCGAAAGAAAAATATTCTAGAGGACAATGAAGAAAACAACCAAAATAAATATAAAGAAAGAGAGAAAGAAAGAAAGAAAGAAAGAAAGAAAGAAAGAAATAAATAAAAAAGAAGAATGCAGTAAGGAGAGAGGAAGATGAAAGAAAATAATAGACACAAGAAAAAGGACGACGACGACGACGAAGAAGAAGAAGAGGATGGGAGTAAGAAAGAAAGATAAAAAGCAAGAGAGAAAGGAATAAAATGAGAAGGAAGGAAAGTAGAATTGAAGAAAAATTCACAATGGCAGAAAAGGAAGAAAAAAAAAGAAGAAAAGTGGAAAAAAAAGTAAATAAAAATGCGATAGAGTGAAAAGTAAAGGAAAGTGGGAGAAGAAAAAGAGAAGAGAAAAATAATTAGAAGGGGAAAAAGACAAGGACAAAAAAGCGATGAATGGGGTGAAAGAAGCTTGGGCGAAACTAAGGGGTGGAGAAATAAAATACGGGTGTAAAGAGGGTATTTCACATTTCGTGGCATCGAATTTAATTAAAACCGGAACGTGATGTTTGAGTTAAAAAATTTAAAAAAAAAACCGCACCACAATAAAGCAAAAAAAACAAAAAAACAAAAAAAACAGTCAAAAACATAGAAACAGTAAATGAAGAAAAAACAAGACGAAAAGAAAATAAGATGAAAACAAAGGCCAATTACTCGTCGAATTGTATGAATGTGTAGCATAGAATGGCAAAATTGATCTTTGTAGTTGTCTTGAAAGCAAATAAAAATGCAGTGAATGGCCGCCGGCGATTGGATAAAATATCGGCTTTTATTAATTTACGGGCAATCATAAAACAAAGGATGCTGCGATAGACAGACAGACAGACAGACAGATAGATAGATAGATAGATAGAGAGAGAGAGAGAGAGAGAGAGAGAGAGAGAAAAAAATATCGAATAAAAATTACAGTGAGAACAAAATGGCATCGAGTTTGGCAATAGACGCTTGTAGATAGGAGAAATATTTGCCGGTTGCAAATGGAGGTTCAGATGAGACTGGGAGAAAGTAAATAAGGATCATAAGAACGCCGAAACAAAAAAGACAGAAAAAAAAATTTAAGGCAAATCAGTTCATTGTTCTATAGATTCAAACGCAGATATTTACGAAAAGGATTTCAATCTATAACACGAATAGACTGACCGCTTGAAAGAAGAGCACGGTAATTTTGTTTTACAAGGCTTTCAATAATTTTAAGATAGAACCAACCCAGAGATTCTTTTTTTATTGTCCTCTCTCACGTACACAAACAAAATGGGATCAATAAGTCTGTAGCCTGACACAAACATTACTTCAATTAGGATTTGAAATTTTCACTGTATATAATCCGATGTGGTTAATGGCGAATCATTGTATTAAGTGCATTGATAAGGAAAGATATCTCTCTATATCTCTGAGATGAGGTATTATGATTACTTGCATTATTTACATTACTCAGACTGTTATCCTCATCTTCATTGGTATATTCACAACGTTTCGTCCGTTGCACGCCCCGGCCTTCTTCAGGTGACTGGAATTTCGAACCGAACTCTATTTCCTCCACCGGGGTAGATTGTTCTAGTTCCACGTGCCATGCCTCTTCCGGATGTCTCAGTTATTTCCCTGTAACTCAACTTTTCCTCAACTGAATTCAACGGCCAGAGCCCCGATAGAAACAACGGTTATCTATCGAGCCTTTAAGTTGGTGGACATATGGTCTGGCGTGGAGGAGGACGGTCGCCGCCATGTTTATGTGCCTAAGACATGCTACGCATAATTGAATACCTCTCTGGCTTTTAACCTAGATGTTGGAGCGAACTGGTCAGGTGTTCAGCTGAGCAACAAACACTAAGTCATGAGACGGATGTTGATGGAGATGATGATGATGTATTGTGGTAATATTCAGGCATAATATTCTTGGGGTTTTCTTTTTTTTAAAACGAATTATTGTTGAAGAAGAGTATTCTACATTGGAACTTATTAAGAATTCTAATGGGAGTAAGTCCAGTCGTCACGAGAAACTAATCTTAGTATCAGATCATTGCAAAAGTACCCGATTTTCATTATTCATATAAAATGTTTGTTTCGGTACCGATTTCTGGTGTTCTCTAGTTTGAAACCTTGCGCCGTACAGTTGCCAGTCAGACTTTGTTGAATGTTGACGTTTTGATCACAAATGAATGCCTTAAAGATAGAGGATGAAAAGTTGCATTTCCACTATAAAATTGCGTTCAAAATATTTAGATTTTGGTATTAAATAATCGATAAAGGTTGACATGCCACTAAACAAAATCGAACAACCTGAAACATGAAAGAACTCTTTCATAACATTAATCCATATAATATCCTACAATTTCTTAAAGAAATCAAACTTTATTCCAAAATAAAAACAACTTCAACAAAAATACAACATAAAACACATATATCCCCGCCTCTAGTAATATATGTCCACACAAACATGTAGATGCACAAAAGCTGAGTATCATCTACCATGTATTCAATTGTGAAAGCAGAATAACATATATCATATTTTTTTACGTGAAAGGTCCTAAGAAAATTAAATATCGTCATTAAATGACCCATAAGGCGTTGATAATGCTGTTAAACCAACCAACCAACCAACCAACCGAGACCATGGAGAGGCTAACATGTGTAAAGACTTTATAATAAAAAAAAGTTAAGCTTTATACATATGTGCCAAACATTTCCATCTGCCTGCTTGCATTTTAGATATTTGACCCGGTGTCGAACGAAACCAAAGTGTCTAAATAAGTGTCTCAATAACAGAAAGAACTGCGGTAATTCTGAAAAGTTAACCTTTTAGATAATCGATATATGACTAAGAAAGCGAAACGGGTGGAATTTGGTTGTTTATTTGCATACAAAACCGCTTCACACTTAGCGCCTGAGATCCTGAGACTAGAGTCTCGTCAGTAAACAAGCACACATCGACAGACAGAACTATGATTTGTTTTTATTTTGGTTTCATATATTTTATTTACCTGACCTCATCACTAAAGCAAGATGTAAAACAAAGTCATTTTTTTTAATGTAGGAGGCCCCCACCCCATTTGCTACCAAGTGTTCCCAGAAATAAGATTCAAGATAAAAAAATTTCCAAAAAAGAAACAATAATCTGGAATTGGAATCAAAGCAGTGATGGCATAAACCTTGAATCCATCATAAAATAATCAGATTGTGGAATTAGTAAATGCTAAACGACTCAAATACGTTCATGTATAGATCATTTATGACAAATTTAGTATAGGAGATAAGGAAACTGAATATAGAATAGGTTGCACTAGAGGTAGTTTCGTTCAATACCACAAACTGTTTCAAAAACCAAAACCAAACCATTAACTTAAGAATTCGAGTCATGTTCGTAAATAGCCTCGTCACATCGAGACTTTCATATAAATGTCATGCATGGCGCCAAACCTGTTAAGAAATATTTAAATTATCAGCTGCATACAACCGCTTTCTACGATCAATGGTTAAAATGGCTTGGGGCAAGTAAAGTCTCTTAGCAAAGACCATCCTCAAGGTGTTAAATTGTCTGTGTATGTGTATACGTATTTTCTGCAAATTCAAAATAATTTTTCCTGTTCGTTTTACTGCGTTTTTTTTACCGATCTATTTCAAATTCACGAGTTTTTCCATGCATGGGAGGCAACTTTTGTATATCTTAATTTATTACTATATATATATATATATATATATATATATATATATATATATATATATATATATATATATATATAATGTACGTCTAAATTATTTAACTAAATCTATTGGAATGAAATACGCTACCTAAACTCACACACATGCACATCCACACCCACAACCATAACACACACACACACACACACACACACACACACACACACACACACACACACACACACACACACACACATATATATATATATAACTATGTATCTATTAAGTAATATACATAATACCGTACATTAATTGCACAACTCTGAGTTTCATGTCGAGGCAATCTACCTATATTTACCCAGTCGGTTATATATATATATATATATATATATATATATATATACAATAAATCAAAATAAGTTCAAATGCTCATTACGGTCAGATGCTGGCTGAAGTTGTTGAATATCTGTCTCTCATGAACTTATCGAACATTGTGAACTGGCACTATAGAATCACAAGCAAAGAACTGTACCAAATAACAGAAACCACGTCTCTTGATGATTTTCAACAGTAGCAACAGCTAAAATGGATAGCACATGAAAATAATGACATAATCAAGATGTTGACGTTCCACACTACTTCAAATAAAATGTTAGGAAGGAAAACCTTATCAATATTAGAAAACCCAATAACAGCTACTGGATTAAAAAATGTTGAAAAATTGTTTTAAAAGAAATATTTTATAACTTTCAATCGTTAGCAGCACTGGCTGCTCGGTCAAAGAATGGCAATTTATTTCCTTATAAGGAAGTGGCTAATATTACGGTTACATTTAACATACACACACATATATATATATATAAAGGGTGTTTCATTAAGACGGATTGTATATAAGGGTGTTTCATTAAGACGGATCAAAGTCAGCAGTAAATAAATCAGTGTTACTGGGTAAAAATTATTTATTTCTCTATTGGATAATGTTATTTAAGTCATGGCAATTATGTATGAAAAATAATATCGCCCAAATGTCCGCCAAATCTGAAAGAAAAAGAAAAAGAAAAAATATCATTAAACGCTTAAACTTAATTCACATTTAAAATCGGTCTAACTTATTGGAACACCCTTTATATATATATATATATATGTTAAAGGGTGTTTCATTAAGATGATTATATATATATTATATTTAAAATCCGTCTAACTTATTGTAACACTTTATATATATATATATATATATATATATATATATATATATATATATATATATATATATATAAAGGATGTTTCATTAGGAGGGATCAGACTCAGCAAAAAATAAATCAGTGTTATTGGTGAAAATTTATTTATTTCTCTATTGGATCATGTTAAATAACATGATCCAATAGAGAAATAAATAGCAATTATGTGTGGAAAAAATCTGTCCAAGTTAGTAGAACACCCTTTAGATGTTGAACAAGGACAAAAGTTGACACGTCCACGCGACCATTGTCATGCTGACATCGATATTACACCGATCCCAGCTCTCTTAATTCAACGAGGAAGGTGCTACAGTTGGGTTGGAATCCCCGGGACCGGGGGTGCCTTCTCGCATCTAAGAATGAGGAAAACCGGCCGAGAAGAGTTAATAAATTATAATTTTAATCAATTGCTAATCGACTGATCAATGTTTTGAACAATCGATTAAGGTGTTGCTGACGGAAGTAAATAAAACATCATTGTTGTTATTTGCATCTATTTGTATGCCATGTCCCTTCACCACACAGTTTAATTATGACTCTACACAGTTTGACTTTATTATTCGTGGAGTGGTTTCCCGTTGCCCTCGACTTTGTTTCGAATTTCGTATACTGATTTTCAAGCTACACAAGCAAATAATTTTTTAAAATTTTTATAATCTTTCTGCAGTATCTAATCTCTCGTTATGACAGTGAATGCTGGAAAATCTCCTCAAAGGAGAAGAAGCTTGAAGCAAAATATGTAAGTCCACCGACGAATGTTGAGAGTACCATGAACAGAGCATGTAAGAAATTAGGATGTTTTAAAAAAATAGAAATTACAGGAAAAACTACCGAACTACGACCAGTCACGATGAATAGATGTCCCCTCGGGAAGGATCCGTGACTTTAGCGGCTATTGAACTCACCCCTGACCTCAAGTAGAACTCGTGCATACGATCCATTGCTAAAGATGCAGGAGAAATGATCAGCTCCTGAAACGCTCCAGTAAGTACTTGACTCCATGTTCTATCCTCTACCTTTACAAGAGCCAGATTAGGCCGAGAATGGAGTACTGTTGTCATATCTGGCGGGGGTGATGCCCCGTCCTCACTTTCCAGACTTAATAGAGTCTCAAAGCGTTTCTGAGTCCTTGTTGGAGAAGAGTTATTTTCAACCCTACAACCTCTTTCTCGCTGGCGGATAGTGGCGATCCTCTCACTGCTATGTCGCTACCTTCACAGAAAGTGCTCGGACGAGCTACATTCCTTGGACTCGCTAGCTTTAACCTTCACGGCAAGGACCCGCTATGACACCTACATTTCCTCCACATTCCATTTCACTCGAACAGCTTCTTCCAGCGAATCACCGCTCTGTGGAACAGACTCCCAGGGGGATGGTTCCCCTGATCCCTACAATCTTAACCCGTTCAAGTTAATCTTATCTTCCTCCTCCTATCCGTACAAACTGCCTCTTACTGTAACCCTTGAGTGGCACCCGGACCTTGTAAAGGGTGAACATTACTGCACCGCCCCCCCCAAAAAAACAAACAAACAAACTGTATTCTAAAAACAGAAGAGTCTGATAAAAACTTTTGGGGACATAATAAGAAGACAGGGCGTGGAGAATTCAAGTTCACTCCCGACCTCAAGTGGAACCCGTTCATATGCAACATTGCTAAAGATGCTGGAAAAAATGTTTCGGTTCTTTGTACCACTTCATAAAGTATTTGATTCCTCCTGGCATGCTCTATCTTTATAAGAGCAAGACCAGACCCAAAATGGAGTATTGCTGCCATAGTTGCACTGGAGCTATCCAATCCTTACTTTCCAGCCATGTCAGAGTTCAAAAGAGTTTAAGAGGACTTGTGGCTCGGGATTTTTTTCCCATCCCCCAACCCCTTTCCCACAGACAAAACATTGTTAGACTCTCGCAAATCTATCACTATTTTCACGAGATCGGTTCAGACGAACTGCATTCCTTAGTTCCACTTAATGGAAGTTTGCTGCAATACATTTTTTCTCTTTATCCTTGTCATTCATTTAGTCTTATGCCTTCATAAAATAAGCTCAGTAAATATTTTTGCTGTCTAACTGGAAGTTTGGTGCTCTTTTTCCTTTTCATTAACTTAGTCTTATACCTTAGGAAAAATAAGCGTAGCAAATATTTTTTATATGGCAGAAGGAACGGGTTAACGTTTTATATGACAGAAGGAACGGGTTTTATATGACAGATGGAACGGGTAGCGGGTTAACTGGAATTTTGGCGCAACACAATCTTCCTAGTTCTATTTTTACTATCAGACTAACATAATTTTAGTAAATATGGATGTTAGAAAAAATGAGAGTAATATTGAAAAAAAAATTAAATGAACGTTTCAGAAAACAAAATTAAAGCGAATATAAATACGTTCTCTTTATTCGCATAGAAAGAGCGACGCGCGAGGCGTCACTTATCTAGTGAGAAAAATCATGTCACCGTTACAATACAATCGTATTCAGTCCACCAGCTGAAGCACATGAAAAAAAGGTTAACGATCTACTAATCTAGGCTTTTGTTCGTCAATTACTTGAAAGCGGAATGCAAATGGATTCACGTTGATGTTTGTTCTTGAATGAAAAATCTTTAAAGAGGACAAATATAGCTTCTCTGTTGACGACCGGATGAAACAGGCTGAATGATTTTTGGCGGGAAGGGCGAAACAGTAGGACGGGGAGAAAACAGAACGATAGTGAGTGGGGGCAGAACAAGACTAAGAGAGAGAAAGAGAGAGAGAGACAGAGATAGATAGATAGATAGATAGAGAGAGAGAGAGAGAGATTTGAATGAATTGAGAATTAAGAGGAATGAAAGCGAAAAGAATTTCGTCAAAGATGAAAAGAAATACATTAAAGAAGAGAAAGATGATGATGACGATAATGAGGATGAGTAGGAGTAGTAGGAAGAGGAGAGGCAAAATTGAAATCGAGAGAAGTATTCATATGTGCCAAATAAAAGTGCCGGCACGATTTATGTCCTTTAGTTTCGGACTCGGCACACTGCTTATTTGGCACGACACACGTATGTCTTTTAAAATTAATTTTATTTGCGGCACGATTATTTTGTTTCAGGAAACAATTTTTTTAATGATTTCACCTTAAGCAAGGCGAGAATGTCACTAATTCGCAGAGGGTTACAGAGAATGAAAGTGAGAGAAAAGACTGAGTATAGGGAGGATTGAGGAAAGGATAAAATATGAACGGGCTTCATGAAGATAGAAAGATAGCGATTGAAGTTGCATTTAAATTTTTGTAGATTGTAGCTATCAGGAAAGCAAGTAAACGGACGGGAGTTCCACAAGCGGGAAGTGCGAGAAAATAAACTGTTGGAGTTGAAGTGGCGGTTCTATTTTAGAAGTAAAAGATGGAACCTAGATGCCAATCTAGTAGCACGCTTAAATTCATGCCGTCGGAGCACCAGGGAAAAAGCTCGTAGAGAAGTTACCATGAAAATATTTGTAGAAAAGACAGAAAAAACCCACCGTGTCAGTGAGAAAGTGACTGACGTCAAGATCCCAAGTCAGAATCGATTACATTGCAGATTCTTCTGTGGATTTTGCCAAGAACCTAGAGATGAATAGCAGGTGCACCTGACAAGATATGGCAGCAGTATACAATGCAGGGACGAATGGTTGATTTGTAAATGTGAAAGATGGAATCTAACGAGAAAAATTTTCTGGCATGATACATGCTCTCTAACGTCTATTTGAACCAGCACACTTATTTTATGACTATTGTCTATTTGAACCAGCACACTTATTTTATGACTATTGTCTAGTTGAACCAGCACACTTATTTTATGACTATTGTCTATTTGAACCAGCACACTTATTTTATGATTATTGTCTAGTTGAACCAGCACACTTATTTTATGACTATTGTCTATTTGAACCGGCACACTTATTTTATGACTATTGTCTAGTTGAACCAGCACGCTTATTTTATAACTATTGTCTAGTTGAACCAGCACGCTTATTTTATGAGTATTGTCTATCTGAACCAGCACGCTTATTTTATGAGTATTGTCTATCTGAACCAGCACACTTATTTTATGAGTTGAAAATTCTCACCGTCATGACTATTTCGGACGACAGTTTTTTATTTGGTAGAAAAGAATAATTTAATGCAAATCAAAATGAATGTAATCATGAAATATAAAAATGAAATGTTAACAAAGGCTCCAGAATCTTTACAAGTACTAAAATGATTACAAAAAGAATTTTTATCTGCTTTGAAATGTACGACTTCATTTGATGTCACAACTTTGTGCTTACGAACCATATTCCAGTCAAACGCTTGAAAAATATTATTAACTTCATCATTAATGAATCACAAAATTAGTGATTTCATTCTTCCAATCAATTAGACTTTTTTTTGGTGGGGAGGGGTTCCTTTTATCGGGTGTTTATGAAACATATGAAAATTCCCAGGGAAACGTTCATTGGAACCGGCACACTGGTTGACTAATTTCAACCAGTATGACTATTCCATACTGCATATGTATTTGGTAAAAGAAAGTACTAGCAAGACTTGTATAGAAGAATATCTGGTATATATATATATATATATATATATATATATATATATAGAGAGAGAGAGAGAGAAAGAGTAAGTGATAGAGAGCGTGATTGCGGTTTGTAGCGTAATGTGATTTATATAGAATTTTAGTCTTTTCAACTAGAGTTTTTCATAATGGTTTTTGTAAAATATATATATATATATATATATATATGTGTGTGTGTGTGTGTGTCTGTGTGTCTGTGTGTGTGTGTTTTGAACAATAAAAATATTAAAAGACTAAAATTTTCACACACACTGGGATGTATATTAATATTTTTTGTTTTATTTCAATTAGGTTTCTCGACTAGTTTCGGCTAGCATCGTCATCATCAGGAGAAAAAAATCACTGCTTGTTAGTAGCAGTGAACTACAGGAGTGAATGACTGTTTCTGAAGAAAGTGAACTTGATCTATAGTTTTCATTTTTTTTATCGTTAATTTTGGTAAGACCTTGTGTTGGTCAAACAGCCTCTTTGAGGTTGTTTTTAAGATAGAGGATGGCAGATTCCTGACCAAGAATTCCCTCCTTGGTCATTATGACAGTTTTATTGGTGGCTGGAAATGGGATGTGTGCGTATGTTATCTTTTAGTTCTCTGAGAGTGTGTGTGATGTGTATATAATTGTGTGAGTGTGTGTATAAGTGTGAGACCTCAACACCACTGCAAGCATGTCTGTCTTGTGTGGGTGAGAAATGTGGGTAGGGCTTGATTTATGTGATTATATATTAATTCTCTGTCATTAAATTTGTGGTTTAGCCCGTCCGGACGAAGTGTTTTGAGGCGCAAACTCCATTTGTCTCATTTGTTCCTCTAGTATTTTTTCTAAGCTCATCTTTTCTGTTTATTTCTAATTTTTTCAATTGTAGTGAATTTTGCATGGCTTTTAAAATCATGTTTTTCTAGGCGGAAATGTTCCACAGGTAATATTCTTTCGTGGGTAGCCGACTTGATCCGATTTTGATAATTATTAATTCTGTAGTGAAAGGGCCATTCAGATTTTCCCACATATTATTTCTGGCATAGCGTGCATTCTAACAGGTAAATTATGTTATGACTTCTACAATTAGAGTTGTGGTAGATTTTGAAAGTAGATTTAGTCACTAAGCTAGTGAACGAATTGTTATGACTAATGTGGTTATAACATAAGCTTATTTTGTTGTTACATGGTTGTGAAAATGCTGTTGTTTTGTTTTTGGTCTATTAAGGGTTACCTTATCATCTGAAATTTGCTTGCTACCTATAATTTCCTTAAGGTTCTTTGTTATACGATATGCTAGAAGGCCGGGTTCCTCAAACAAAGTTTTTAGGGTTTTTTTTGAGATGTAGTATTTCCCAGCGAATTTTGATTATCTGAGATAGTGGAGGAAGAGTGGTGTTGAAAGTGGTTACTAGAGGGATGCATCTTGATTTATTGTTAATTTTATAAATTAGATGTCTTCTCTAGGTGTAGAAATTGCGTTATTTATTTGTTCTCTGATTAGGTGTTGTTTATAGCCACGTGTTGTGAATTGATGCTTGAGATTTTTAGTGTGTTTACTTAGTTCTTCATTGTTAGAACATATCCTTCTGAACCTAAGTGTTTTACACACACACACATTATATATATACGTGTGTGTGTATGTGTGTGTGTGTGAATGATGAGACAATGTGGAAAAACTATAAACGACGCTTCCTTCCATTCTAACCTGAAAAACCCAAAGGAAGCATACCGGCTCTAGATCGGTGAAACGCGTCGTTTATAGTTTTTCCACCTTGTCTCATTATCTACACACACACACACACACACACACACACACACACACACACACACACACACACACACACACACACACACACACACATTTGGACCCTCAAAAAGTGTGGTTGGTTTAGGATAAAAATAATAATGTGGTTATAACATAAGAAAAATATAATCAAAATCATGTGTGCGGATAGTCTGGCTGTTGAGGTCTAACAACTGAGTTGCTATACCCTTATGCGACGAAAATGAAAGAGTCATATATATATATATATATATATATATATATATATGTGTGTGTGTGTGTGTGTGTATATATATATATATATATATATATATATATATATATATATTAGTATAAACGTTATATTCTACGTGTTTCAGTAGACGTCGTCGCTTTTTGGGAACAGTGATATTAATGTCTACTGGCCTAGAGATCGAACATCTAAAATTAAGAAAATGTGACTCCCGACAAGAAGGATTTTTCTTTATTAACATTTTCGATCTCTAGGCCGGTAGATATTAATTTCACCTTTTAAAGAACAGTCATATCTATCCAAGCACATACTAAATATAATGTTTATAGCAATTAGAAATAATGTTTGATTAAAATAGTTGTTCGCAAACACACACACAAACACGCACGCGCGCATATACAACTACTGACAGACCGGATCTTGTAGATAAATTAAAGTCGAACATACAATAGAATTTACATACAAAATGGGAGAAAACAATACTTTAGACATCATGTTACACCGAGTTGATAACAACCATAAAACTTAATGTCCACCAAATCAACCAATAAAAATAACCTAATAAACGTCTATTCGCATCATAACAACAAAATAAAATCCGTAATGATCATTGGATTCTATTTAAGAACACTCAGAATTTGCAGCCCTCAATATTTACACAAAGAGGAGAAATATATTGAAGATACTTTCAAGACCCTCTAATATCCTATTTCATATTTAATGCGAAATAAAAAGCTCATAAAATATTCAAAGATAGAAAAGCTGTCTGTTGTAGCCTATCCATGGACGATAATGGGTATTCCTCCATTCATATAAATATAGTAGTAAATACTGTATGTTGGTCTGCAGTTGAAGATTCATTGTGGAATTCACTTGACTTCTAACAGTTGACTATTACTTCTACGCGCCGCTGGCGAATCTTATATGTGTTGTTCTTGTCCTAAGTATTATCGTTCATCACCAACCTTCATGTGATTATTTTATTTAGTATGTTTCCCTAGGTTACAACACTGTCCTTCCGGATATACCCAATGAATGAACAAAATATATTATTCTACACAGTTTCTTTTCGGTTTTAGTTGTGACGCGCACATGCGTATATATATATATATATATATATATATATATATATATATATATATATATATATTTTGTGCGTGTCACGGCTACGGAATGCAGTACATTCGTACAGGTAATAATAATTTCATTATTTCTCAAGAGAATTTTGAGACAAGTTGTTATATTCCATGATGATAGGAATATGGAATGGACAAATGCACAGTGGATAAATAGTAGC